AACGAGTTAGTGACTTCGAGGACGAGTTGCAATATAGATAAACGAATGGTGAGTAGCTTATAGCGAATGGCGGATCTGCCACCCGCCATTCGTCTTTCGACTTCGAGCAGGTCCAGTATGATCAAGTCAAGTGACTTACGTTGGCGGGCTGTGACACTAGTACGCATTTACGACGTTGAGATCTCCCATGTTCCAAATAATCTTGGCATCTCAAAGCGCTCCGTTGAGAGGTGGTATGGATGGTTTCCCCAGACAGGATCTGTAGAAGGCAAGAGGCAAAAGCAGCGAAGTTCGCGGTGACCACGTGACGTTTGTCAGTTCGTTCGTGAATATGCGGAGTCACATCCATATTTCTACATTGAAGAGCTCCGATCCGCTCTAAAATCTCGGTTTCCGACACTAAGAAACACGTCCGAGGCTACATCTGCCATATCCTTCGTTTTGACTTACATCATACTCGAATGGTGCTGAGCAAGAGGGCTAGAGAGGGCACACCAGCTGAAATTGCCGTGTACTACAACCAGTTGCTTCTGTACTACTCAGGACCTGAACAGCTCGTCTTTTTGGACGAAACCGCCAAGGCCGGCTGCGACTGTATGCGTCGGTATGCGTGGTTGCCGAGAGGTCGTCGAGCTACCGTTTAGGAGAGGGGATCGAGTTGCTGTTCTAGCAGCAACGGATTCAATTGAGTTCGTCGCTTGGAAGATGATAAGAGGCACGTTCACAAGCTGAGAGTTCCACAAAGCGCTTAGAGAAAAGATTGCACCATTTTTAAACCCATGGCCACAAGAAGTATTGTGATTCTCGACAACGCAAAGATACAAATGTATCGTGAATAGGAAGAATTAGTTCATTCATTGGATGCGATACTATTTTTCTCTCTCCCCCCCCTCTGTTGCCCACAATTGAACCCCATCGAGGTCTCGTTTTCGCTGCTGAAAAGATGGATTATTAACCACGCCAACATGGCATTTCGCGTTAACCCAGAAACAGTTTTGGAAGTAGCGTTGGGTGTTTGCACACGCTCAAACGATTCTATAGGCAAAAATCTTTATAGAAAATGCGGAGATGCAGCAGGCCTAGTTAGAGATGTCTTCCTCGAGAGAGCAAACGATGCTGACTAAACTAGAGCCTCTCTTCCTTCATCGCCATCGTTGTCTTCTTGATCATATCCGATTTCATTGTCTTCTTCTTCAGATTGCTCTGCGTGGTCAATGTCAATTGCATCTTGGGGTACCGTCACCGTCCTTACTACACGTTCAAGAAAGGGAAGCTGGAGATCGTATCCAGGCAGGCCAAGTGTCATCCGAAACTCTTGGATGTTAGGATCGATCAGCACAGAAACACCATTAATTGTGACAGGAATGCGGTGGTGTCGTAATTCCCACGGCAACTCTAGCTACTAGTGTAGGTAGGATAAACCCACAACAATACGTCTACCAGAACGGTAAACGATCGTTGGGCGTGATCTGAAGACCCA